AAGGATTCTTTGTACCATAAAAGTTTAAGACAAGGAAATGCACAAGCATAAAGTGTAACATCCTTCTCCCCCTTTTACATTATCAAAAAGAAGAGAAAGATGCATAAAAATATACTAACACACACATATACTAAACCTTCTCCCCCTCTGTCATTAGCAAAAAGGAATGGGGAAAGACTTAAAATATATAATGAAATTATAAACATAAAAACAATTTTTACCTATGAGTTTTACCTCAAGAGTGACTTCATAAACCATTCATCCTTGATGAATTTGAAGCCTTTTCAACAAAGTTGTCTTTTACTTAGAAGTTGTCTTTTGTTATTCAACATAAAGTACATCTTCAATGGATATGAAAGTTAGTGTATGAACTTTGCCAATGCCAAGAATTCCTCCTTTAAGGTATTTCCCATATGTGAAATAATCCTTGGACTTGAACTAGATTTGAAAGTTAGTGTACATCTTCCATCAAATGCTTAGAGCCCTCACTTATCAAAACATCATAGATTTAAAGTGGTCCTCAAGCAAACCTACAAAACAAATTAAGTTTAATTTGGTACCCAATATGCTTTGGGTCCATCATAGTTAGTTCCCTTCTTAACACACACATAATTCCCACTTGCCACACTTATATTTCTAACATAGCAAGCATTAGGTGTATGGCCACTTATACCATAATAAAAACATGTAGGAATAAAATTACTTCTATATCTAGGAGGATAAGATTTCTTCTTAACAAATATTTTCTTTTTAGGATATTGATGAACTACTTTAGGTTTGTTCACTTTCTCTTTGAATGATTGATCACTAGCCTTAACAAATATAGTCTTATTAGAACTTGGTTTTGAAAACTTTGAATATCGAAGTCCACTTTTATCATTGGAATATCTTTGTTGGCTAAGAACACCTTCCAATCCAATTTGACCTTTTTCATATCTCTCAATAACTCTTTTTAATTGGACAATTTGGAAAGAGAGTGATTCATAATTTTTGCATACAAAATTCTGCTTTTGGTCACTAAATTTTTGTTTTTCATCTTTGAGATCTTTTTCCATAGATTCACATTTTTCTTCTAAAGATGAAATTTGTTTCTTTTGAGATGAAATAGTTTTGTATAAAATTTTGCATTCATTTAAGAGTTCATTTATTGCACCTTGTACATCATTATCATAAAGAGAAAATTCATTACTAACCTCATCATCTTCACTATCGAAATGGTGTGAGGCCATCAATGCAAGATTAACATGTTGATTATTTTCTGAATCGAAAGATGAACTTTCCCATGCTATATATGCTTTCTTTTACTTCTTTTATTTATTTATCTTGAAGTATTTCTTCTTCTTTTCAAGTGTAGGACATTCACTTTTAACATGTCCCTTTTCTCCACATTCAAAGCATATAACCTTCCTTGTTGGTGCTTCCCTTTTTCTTTCTTTTCGTAGAACCTTTTCAATCTTCCTGATGAGATCATCATCTTCACTACTGGTGGATTCATCCTCTTGATTGCTATCATGATTTTTAATCCTTGTATTTAAAGCAATGTCTTTTGAATCTTTTACTTGGATTTCATGCTTTTCAAGTCTTGCAAGTTTTGTCTCATATTCTTGAAGTTTTCCGAACAAAGTGGCGGAAATCATTATGGATAGATTCTTCTTCTCGGATATTGCTGTCACTTTTGGTTGCCATTCCCTGGATAAAGATCTAAGCACTTTAAGATTAAGTTCATCATTAGTTAAAGTCTTACCGAGTGCTTTCAAATTATTTGTCAAGTGTACAAATCTTTTCTACAAGTCAAGGATTGATTCTCGGGGTTGCATTCTGAATAGTTCGTATTCTTTACTCAATGTATTTAATCTCGATCTTTTAACTTCGGCGGTTTCTTCATGAGTTTCTACCAAGGTATTCCATATTTCTTTCTCCATTTTTCATGCCGAGACAAAGAAGAATTCATCCATGCTAAGTGCACCTTAAAGAAGATTGATTGCCTTTTTATCATAGAGGACCTTTTTCTTATCATCTTCATCCCATGCAGTTTTAGGCTTTGATGAGCCAGCACCATTGATCACGGTTATAGGAATAACTGGACCATTCTCGACGGCATCCCATATTTCTTCTCCTTGTGCTTCTAGATGTTCCTTCATGCGTATTTTCCAGAATTCAAAATATTCACCACAAAATATAGGAGGCTTGTTGTTACTACCACCATCTCTGAAAATAGGATTTTGACCAACTCGTGTTCAAGCACCTGTGTGAAACATCTTGCCTTTAATAGACGGAACCTGTTAAGATAATCGTCTATAGGCTCGCTGAATTTGCGCTTAACATTTGCCAATTCACTCAGGATGATTTTGGATTGACCTACATAAAATTGTTCATGAAATAATCTCTCCAAGCGAGTCCAATCATGGATGGAGTTTGATGCAAGAGTAGTAAACCAAGTAAAAGCATTTTTGGTTAGTGAACTAGGGTAATACTTAATCCTTAGATTCTCATTATTTGCTATATCCCCTGCTTCTGTAATATATCTAGCAACATGTTCTATGGTTGACTCACTGATGTCACCAGAAAACTTTGTAAATTTTGGCACTTTCCATCCCCTAGGCAACTCAGTTTGCTGAATGTATTCAGACAAAGGGGATGTATAATTTGGCATTCGCATGCAAATATTTACTCCATTTCGTGCCATGATTCTTTCGACTATGGCTTCTAGATTATTATTTCCTACCATATCATCTTGGTGATATCCTTGGAGGACTTCGTTAGCATCTTGGTTTTGATTCACCATGATCTTAATTTATGAAATTTCAAGTAAATTTATAAAGATAAGAGTAGTTGATTTAGAATAGTTTAACTAACAATTAAATTTCAATTTTCAGTTGATCAAAGAAATTTATAAGTGTATGAAATTGTGTACAGTCTATGTTATTGAATTAATACACTTAAGAACTATTGGCAAATAGTGTCATTTGGATTTCAATTTGATAAGAAATCTTAAGTAAATTATGAGCATGATCTGTGTCCTATTAAGTTGCTATCGGCCGGATAAGCAGGCTTCCTGAGAATGACTCACCTTAGGAATGTACTAATGTTTATTGTGTGATACACCATATTATTTGTTTATTTTGTGTGTAAATTATTCGAAATATATATTTCATATTGATCAACTGACAAGTAAACTCCCATAGCTTACTAACAACAATGATTGTAGTAAGGAACTCACTAAGACAAGTAGGTCCCATGTCACACATTTTTTATTTTAAGATAGACATGCAAATGGAGTGATTCTTTTTTATGGAATAATTTGTGTGCCAAATGATCCAGAACTGAAAAGACTGGTTTTAGAATAAGCTCACAAAAGTAGATTTTCTATTCGTCCTGATTCCACTAAGATGTATCATGACTTGAGAAAAGATAAATATTGACCCTGTAAGAAGGCTAATATCACATAGTTTGTTATTATATGAATTGATGTCAATAAGTTAAGATTGAACATTAAAGACCCGCAAGATTGCTTCAACCATTGGAAATCCTAGAGTAGAAATGAGTGAAAATCTCTATGACTTTCGTAGGAGGTTTACCTCGCACTCAAAAGGGACATGGTTCAATTTGGGTAATTGAGGACCGTTTGACTAAGTCGACTCATTTTATATCGGTCAAATCCACTTACAAGATGTCACAGTATGCATCGATTTTTATCATCGAGATATTCAAGTTGCATGGGGTGCCATTTAGTATTGTATTAGATAGAGATCCAAAGTTCACTTCAAGCTTTTGGAAGGCGTTTCACAAAACTTTGGGTACTCGACTACGGTGGAGTACATAACATCATCCTCAGATAAATGCACAATAAAAAAGGAGAATTCAAACATTAGGATATGCTTTCGATCTTGTGTATTAGATGATGGGGGGAGTTGGAGTGACCATTTACATTTAATTGAATTCTCCTACAATATTAATACTCAAACATCGAGATGACCCCGTTTGAAGCCCTCTATGAAAGAAAATGTATGACAAAATTATGCTGGTCTGAGGTCGGTGATAAGGAGATTTTGGGACTTGAAATAATTCAAGATAAAGATAACTCAGAGTCGTCAAAAAATTATACAAATAACATACAAAAATCATTGGTATTTGAAAAAAATGGTCATATCTTCTTAAAAGTGACTCAACGTTGAGGCTACATAATATTTTTTCCACTTTAATTTTTATGGAACTAATCTTCATATCCACTTATTTTAATAAATAATTTTTATATTTATATGAATTTATTTTGCGAATTTTTTAATCTAAGTATTCTAATTATTTTTGCAAAAATATATTGAATATGAGTCTAATTATATGAAACGTATCTCAAACTACATTTCACTTTTAATTTCTTTTTCTCTTATGTCATTATTTATTATTGTAAAATAATTTAAATTTTTTCTATATACAAAATTATTATATTTTTAATTTTATATAAAAAAAGTAAAAGTATAACAATTTATAATTTAAAATAAAGATTGTAAAATACAAGTATATTTACTAGGTCAATATATATACATATATATGCACAAGAATTAAAAAGAAAAGGGAAAAACATATGTATAGAAGGCGGCTTAATTAAAATTTATTTTGGTCAAATGAAATAATGTTACGGATTTTTATTATTTCCTACTATTTCTATATATTTCCATCCAAGTAATGATAAAAACACAAAAGATGTGCTGTATTTGTTTGAGTTGTCCCGATCTTTACAATAATAAATAAAGAAAACAAAATGATACTTACAACTAAGCAGGAATCACGCGCGAAGCACGTGGACAGAAAGATGCTATTCACTGTAGTATACACTAAATTAATTAATAAATAAATAAAAGAAACAGTTTTTAAAAAATAAAAAAAAATACCAACGGTTTCTCACTTCACTTAAGAACAGAACCTAGTTGTACAAATGAAACACAACATAACATAGGGTGAGAGAACAAAACACAAAAAAACAAACATACTCTGTTTTCCCAATGGACTCCCTCTCTCTCTTCTGCACTGGAGCTCTTCTCGCCGGCGGCCTATATTGGTTCGTCTGTGTCCTCGGCCCCGCCGAACGTAAAGGCAAACGCGCCTCCGATCTATCCGGTGGTTCTATCTCCGCCGAAAAAGTCCAAGACAGTTACAAACAATACTGGTCTTTCTTCCGCCGTCCCAAAGAGATCGAAACCGCAGAGAAAGTCCCAGATTTCGTTGATACCTTTTACAATTTAGTTACAGATATTTACGAATGGGGCTGGGGACAATCCTTCCATTTCTCACCTTCCATCCGTGGTAAATCCCACCGTGAAGCCACGCGCCTCCACGAAGAAATGGCTGTGGATCTCATCGAGGCGAAATCCGGAGACAAAATCCTCGACGTTGGATGCGGTGTTGGTGGACCCATGAGAGCCATCGCGTCTCACTCACGCGCTAACGTCGTTGGAATCACGATCAACGAGTATCAGGTAAAAAGAGCGAAGATACACAACAAGAAAGCCGGACTCGACTCTCTCTGCGACGTCGTTTGTGGAAACTTCCTCGAGATGCCGTTTCCTGATAACAGTTTCGACGGCGCTTACTCAATCGAAGCGACGTGCCACGCGCCGAAGCTTAACGAAGTTTACGCTGAAATTTTTAGGGTTTTGAAACCGGGTGCTCTTTACGTTTCATATGAATGGGTCACAACGGAGAAATTTGTGTCAGAAAATTCCGAACATGTTGAGATTATTCAAGGGATTGAAAGAGGTGATGCTTTGCCTGGGCTTAGAAGCTACGCTGATATAGCTGAAACGGCTAAGAATGTTGGGTTTGAGGTTATTAAGGAACGGGATCTGGCTCAGCCACCGGCTGGGCCGTGGTGGAGCCGTTTGAAAATGGGCCGGCTTGCTTATTGGCGTAACCATGTTGTGGTAACTGTTCTGTCTGCATTGGGAATAGCGCCTAAAGGGACCGTTGATGTTCATGAGATGCTGTTCAAGACTGCTGACTTTTTGACCAGAGGGGGTGATACTGGAATTTTCTCTCCTATGCACATGATTCTCTGCAGAAAACCTAAAGAACAAGAGAAATAAATTTGTGCTGTGATGGTGATGAAGGTATCTGAAACTAAAATGAATTTGTTTTTTTAATAATTTTTATTATATTTTAAGTTTAACTTACTGTTTCTCTGAACTGGATGTAATTTGTTTTTTTTTTTTCTTTTCTTTTCATTTTTGCAACGTAGTTTTGTTTAATTTTCTTACCTTTTGGATTTTATTTTAGTCTTCAGTACTGTTAGTGCATTTCATTTAATGGAATTTAATTAGTTTAAAGTTGGATTCTGATTGTTCCTGTGATTTGATTGATAGTATTTATTTGGATATGGTATTGGAGAAAAATTGTGTATATTAAAAGTTAGAGAACAAAAAGGGAAAAAGCTTCCTTATATTTTACAATTTTATGATGTTGGTGAGGGAGCGTTGTTAGGAGATGATGAGGTGGAGATATTAGAAAACAGCACATGTTAAGATGATTGGTTATGTGTGTGAGATTAGCTGGTTTTTGTGGTGGTAAGTGATTATGCTTTTAGCTTATTTCAGAATCTGGATGGATCTGGTGATACTTGTTTTTGGTTTTATTGTTGGCATTTTGTGAGTGGTTGCTTACTACAGGGGACCGTTTGGCCACACATGTGACATTTGTACAGCACTTGCGTTGGATCTGTCAATTCTTTTTTGTTTCACACTCATCTTGTTTGTGACAAACAAAACACACATCTTGTGGAGTGGAGTTATGAAGAAACTTCAAACACCATCACTTTCAACTTAAATTTATCAAAAACACATCTAGTTTGTTTGTGTTATGATAGACAAACATGTTAGAATACTTTACGAAACCATCATTATTAGTGCCTCTTGCAAATTTTTGAGTTATGGAGGGACCAAGTTTATATTGTCATAATATAGTCATAGGGCATTATTTATAGCGAAATGGAGATGATCTCAACTCAAACGCTAGAGTCCAATTGTTAGAATCTGCAATAAAGACTCCGATATGGTTTCGATAATTTTTTTTTTTGACATTAAAGTTAGTGAAGTCCTCTCGAAAGACTCATGATTATAACTACACTTGAGAACGTCCAATAAAGACTCATCATCATAACTACACAGTGGCATTCATCTCATGTCAATTGTCATATTCATACGAGTTCGTTGATCATTAGCAAAATAGACATTTGAGAGTTTCTTTCCACAAAAATATCTTAGTCACGTAACATTAAGGTTAGTGAAGTCCTCTGGAAAGACTCATGATTGTAACTACACTTGAGAATATCGAATAAAGACTCACCGTCGTAACTACACAATGACATTCATCTAAGATCAATTGTCATATTTATACGAGCTCATTGATCATTAGCAAAATAGATATTTAAGAGTTTCTTTCCACGAAATCATCTTATGCACACCCAATTATTTCTCTTTCTACTCTACTAATGATAATAGGCACAAATTCTTCGTCAAATGTTCTATGCCAAACAAGATCATTCTCATTAGCATTGGTGTGAACCTCCAACACCCTAGTTATATGAAGGATGTTAATCACAATGATGTCAAAATCATATAGGTCTTAATCAATTTTCTTCAAATTAACTTAAATTGTAAATCCGTCTTGCCAACTTATTTGTAAGTGTATTAGAATAAATTATATCAATAACTCTTAAAGTGTATGTTATCCAAGTTTGAAAACCATTTCATATCCTTCACCCAATATTCTTATGCAACTAACTTAAGACTTAAAAGTCTTCTCAAAAGGTTAGACTAAACCTTGTTCATCTTCATCTTTGAAAACCTTGTCAATCCACAATTGTACTTGTCACAAACAAGTTTTGTCCATAGATTTTGAAAACGAATAAATAAATCCTAATAAGGTATGCCCTAAAAATTCTTACCATTTCTATAACATCGACAAATTGGTTAGCTACTTTGTAGGATAAAATTATTTGTCATTCATGGATGATTTTTCCAGGTACAATCAAATTCTAATCCATGAGAAGGATCATGACAAGACATCATTCATCGTGGAATACACCAATTATAGGTACAACATAATGTTTTTTGTTTGAAAATCTTCGAGTGAGAGATTAGGGATATATTGAAGGTGTATATGTATGACATGATAGTCAATCGATTTATTTCAAGATCAGCTCAACACGTTCTCCTATTCTGCAAGCTCTCAAGGAAGGAAAGTTCAAATGGACACCAGAGTGCGAACAAACCTTCACATAACTAAAGCTTTCTATATCCAAGCCAATGTCCAATGAGAGGTTGTTCATATATCTAACAGTATCAGCAGAAGCATTAAGTGTCTTCCTTGTGAGAGAGGTAAATATCAACCAAAATCAAGTGTATTTCATTTTCAAGGCATTGGCGTGTTCTAAAATCATCTATCAAAAGATTGAGAAAATTGTTCTCCCTCGAGTAAGTTGCGATGCTACTTTATAACACATTCAATATTGATCCGCAATGATTGACTTTTAAAGTAAGCCCTCTTCAGTCCAGATCTAATTGAGTGGATGACTAGTGGTAAGGTTATAAAATTTTAAAAACGACCGAATTTTCAAGTAGGAAGGTTAGTTTTCCAAAAATGATTTTACATAGAGATAAACTAAAAAACACCAATATATCATGGAGGTAAAATGATAATACCTCAAATATCTACGTTAGAGAACCTATAGATCTTAACGCCTGATAATCCTGCTCTAAGTTAATATCAACTTAAAGTTTTTATTTTGATATTATCCTTGTCTAATTTTATTCTGATATTACTCTTTCCTTTTTATTTATAATCCATGTAACTGCCGGAAAAAAATTGTTTTAAATGTCTATAGTTGTATGAATATTATTGTCAAGTACTTGAGTAGTGAGGATATTAATTATGGTGCAATTATTTTATAAAATTTGATAAGTCTCTAATAACTGATTTTGAAGGAAAATAATCTTGAAAATACAAACTATTCTAATTTTATTTTAAAAGGACGATTACATATATTATATGTAAATTGTTGATTGCTATAAAAAAATTTAAAATAAAATAAAAATGCATCTTTACTATTCAAAATTAGAGTGTTACAATATAATTCTATTATTTACAAATAAATAAAAATAAGTGATAGAATGTCAGAAAAATAATACTCATTAAAAGCAAAAGAATTTAATGTATGAAATGCAATTGTAATAACACCTGAGAACTTTTAAAACCTGCTACAAATAAATAAATAAATAAATACAAACATGCTAAAACAGATATTGAATTTATTGTAACACATCCTTATGAGTTATGACAAGAAAAATAATTACGTGTTTGTATTTATCTTGTAGCCGATTTTGAAGGTAGTCAGGTGTTACAGTTAAATTTCATACCTTAAATTCTTTTGCTTTTAATGAGTATTGTTTTTTCTGACATTTCTATCACTCATTTTTATATTTATTTATTTATTTATTTATTTATTTATCAAATTATAGATTTATATTATAATGCTCTCATTGTTAATACTGGTGGTGGCACATTCTTATATATATTTTTAGTTATTTTTAACACACAAAATAAATATTTATATTAAATTAATTAAATTTATATTTTAAAAATTACACATTACAAATAAATCACTAAATAATCGTAGAAACATTTTATTTATACACAAGACAAATAAACTTGTTGCAAAAACAAATAGAATAATTAATATATTAAAATTGTTTGATTTAAAGGACTAAATATGTATTTGTCCAATAATAAAATAATTATAATATATGTTAAAATCATACATAACAAATATTTGTTATCAAATAATTGGTTAAAAATAATATTTTTAATATCATAAATACATTATATTTATTATAGAAGTCTGGAGCATATAATTTTTTTTTGTTTTACACTTTTTATATTTTTTCAAGGACTTAATTTATTTGTTATTCTGTATTGGAACGGAAACATAAGTTAAATGGTAGGTCAGAGATAACCACCATAAAAAGATTTTTACAAGGTTAATAATTTAATCTTTAAGTTAGTTAATGAGTGATTTAGTGTGCGAGAGTGTGTAATACTTGGATATGATTTTTGTAACATCTTCAATTTGGATAAACTCAACGTAAAAATTATTAGATGAACTAAATACTTGTTATAAGTTTATTATTATTGTTCCGAGTCAATCGGAATACCCAGCGGCCAACCACTTAGATTGAATCACGATTCGTCTAGATTACTTGTGGCATAGGAGAACTTCCCTATGATGGAGTACACACGATTCAGATCTAATATGCATCCAACGGTCCACCATACCACACACGTAGTCAAATAGTAAATCAACATTGATTTCTTGATTTTCCAGATCCCTGACATTCGAACCATTCAACAGTATATGGATATCATTCAAGTAGTGATGACTCAACCTCCTTATCTTCCTCAAGGTATTGCTGATCAAATTGTGGTAGACACTTTGTTGCATCTAGACCTACTGCAACCTTCTCATATCACATGATCTACTCCAGTACCGCCACGATCGTCATAACCTAAAATATTGTATGGTTTTCACCTCTTGCGAGTCAATCTCAGAAATACAAGGGGTCAATGCTTTACTGAGCAACATGTATAACATCATTCAACAATATAATTCATAAGCGATAGAGGAGAGGTTACCTTGCCTTGGAGAAAGCCTACATAATACGCCTCTGAGGGGAAACACCAGGTAGGAAGCCCTGTCGAAGAGTAGTCAAGTTGTCATCCTCAAGTCGATTGCATTGCAAAGAGATGAAGCTCCAAAATCGAAGAATCCTCAGAGGAGCAAGAAGCGCCAAACTCTTCCTCAAAGCCCCGACGAAAACCGAGGCATCCATGCTCCCCGCAAGATTGGGTAGAGAAAACACTGTCAAAGAACCCACAGAATCACCCTCATTACAACAAAATACACCTTTTTTCCTCGATTGAAAAAGAGGTCTTACATCGGTTACTCAGGCGAGGTAACAAAGGGCGTCATGAAAAGTATTTGGGTCTTACCTAAGTTTTAAAACAATTGACAGGTAAGGTATAAAGGTCATGG